GGGGGTGGAGAGGGCAGCTGCCAGGAGGGAGAGCCAGCCTGTTACTTCTATAAATCCTGCACAGTTGGTGTAGACTTTAAAAGGCACACCAGGCATTTTACTCCTGTGGGGTTTTGTTTGTTTGTTCTTTTGTTTTGTTTTAGCTGGTCCTCGGGCTGGAACCCTGGGCCCAGGTGCTGTCTCTGGGCTTCTTTGCTCAAGGCAAACACTCTACCACTTGAACCACCACACCACTTCCAGAGTGGTGTGGAGATAAGAGTCTCACAGAGTTTCCTGCCCGGGCTGGCTTCCAACTGCGATCCTCAGATCTCAGCCTCCCAAGTAGCTAGGATGACAGGTGGGAGCCACCAGTGCCCGGCCCCTGTGGTTTTTAAATGTGCTCAGTCTAAAAGAGGCTTGCATGATCAGTGGTAGGAACCTCTTGAGCTTGCATCGCCCACTGGGGTGTTCGGATTCATACGGCCGAAATGCCTTCCGCATTCTGCCTACAAGCGAATCTTTCTGTATTTATGTATTTGTTTCTTGTTTTGAGTTAGGGGGTCTCTCAATCCCCCTGCCGTGCTCTTCCAAATGATATTACAGGCATGCCCTGTTATGCCTAGCCACAAGTGAATATTTTCTGATGAGCTGTTCTACTTTTAAAAAAAAAATCTCACCTATTCAGTGAGTGCTCCGATTTAAGATGGGTGAAGGTTACCAGTACTTCAGTTGCTACCCCTTCAGCTAGCGACAGAACTTCATTAAGTGACAGGGCCCTAGCAATGATTGTTTAGCAATATGACAGACTTTCCAAGTGATCCTTGCCCTGTTCCTGCTTCATTCTTGGGAATTTACCCCTACCTACACCCAGAAGTGTGGGCGTGGGTGGCCATATTGACATCATATGCTCCTCACTATAGGTGACTGGACCACGGTTGGACACTTGAACCTGACATAGTAGGTCCATCAACTTAGCAGTGATCTTAGGAGTTACTTTGTTGACATTTGAGTTAAAGGATGTAGTATCTATAGTGCCATAGTTCATGCTATGTAGGTAAGCTGAGGAGTGGCGAAAAGAAACCACTGATAAGCAGAGAAGGTGGTTCTGCAAAGGGAGGGATGCACAGGTGAGCATGCAGGAGGCCACAGTGACCCAGAAGGAAGAGTGGTGGAGCACAGGCTTTAGTTCCCTGGTGGCTTTCAGTCCTAGACTCCAAAAAGCCTGTCAATTGATTTCCTGTGTGAACTGACCATGCGACAGCCTCTTAGATCCTCTCCCAGCCCTCAGCCCTACGACCTCTAATTTTTTTTTTTTGAGATAAGGACTCCCATTCCTTTGTAGTCAGAAACCCTTGACTAAAATAAACTACCACGAAGGTGCCCCCAGCAGTGTTGGAATCTGAGAGCTGTAAACTTACACTTCAGATGATGTGGTCAGCTAAAGCCCCGATGGATCTTGATGCTGAGTAAAGGGAGGAATGTTTTCTAGGTGCCGCTGGAAACGACTCACAGTTCTAGTCTCAGTATTAATAGTTGGGGACATTCTATTCTACTGTTCCACCCATTTCTCCCTTGTGATAATAGTTTTAGACTTATATGATGGGTCTTTGGAAACTCTGTTTAGGGGGAAAAATGCTGGACATGAGATCAAAGAGAACAGTGTCACCGCTCCTGGTTTGTTGCTGTGAACTTTCAGGTGGTTTACATTACAGACATCATTTCGAAGGCCTTGTCAACAGCCACTGCTCAAATACTGGGGAATTTTTTTTTTAACAACTGAAGAAGCTTCACATATAGTACAGGAGGGAGGCAGGGCAGACAGCAAGATCATCCATAGGCTGGGCTCTGTCTCTGGCAATAATGAGTTCAGCCATCCTTGTCAGATTTAGCTCCTACACCAAACCAGCATTTATCAGGGTGGAGAAAAGTCAACAGTGGGCACCTTGAAATGGAGCAGTGGCTATGTTTTTTTTTTTTTTATGAGCTGAAAGGCATGACATTGTGTAAGTTTTCATAGAACACAGCACTAGTCTGAGTGGAAAAGTCTGTAGTTAAGTGAAAAGTTCTGTTGGAAAGATTTTTTTCTTTTAAGTCTAAGAGAGAGTGAAATTGAATTTCATTTGGGGAGAAGACACTTGGCAAGTGGTGGGAGGAGAACTCAGTTTGGGCGAGGGGCAGTGTAAGTGGCATGCATGCCCTTCCTCCAGACCTTAGGCTACTTACTTTCTTGCTGTCTTATTTTCTTCTCGTACAAAATGACAATAACAGCAGTACTGGTGTCTTAGATTCATGGCACAAATTAAAGACGTCAACACATGTAATATGCATAGAGTATATGCCTAGAATAGTAAGTACATCAACAGGGGTGCAGAATCTCCACCAAAAAGATTCATGGAAACGATATTCTTTTCCTGATGAAAGCAGTGGCTACATTTACGCTTTGACTATGGACCCTCGTGTGTTTTGGCCATGACAGGAAAGAAGGGGGGGTGGTAAAAGGGCCGAAAAAGTAAAAGTGGGAGCAGGGGAGCTTTCATACAAGGGAGAAGACAGATTGGACTTGATTTGGGGAAGTGGAGGCTGAGATGCACTATGTTTAATTTTATGAATAACTTGTTTATGCACGATGAGGAAATTGGAACTGGCATGCGAAGTGAGGACTTGGAGGTGAATGTTTAAGCAGATGGTCCCTGGACAGTGCTGCGCAGTGAGAGGTTCACTTACAGAACTCATTAGCTCAGGAGCGTTAGCAGCAGTCTGGATGAAGGCTGTGGAGTACAGCCCCTTAATTATCAAGAATGGCCAGGGACATGTGGGATAGAGCCCCTCTTTAATCCAGTTCAGCACTTCAAAAGAACTTACAGTGGCACAATATTCCTTCCATGATCCTTTGTCTTTCTACTCAAATATATGGGCCTTTTTGTTTTCTTCTAGTGTCTCAGTTTCATAATGATGACCCTTTGGTGAGGATATTTGGTGAGAATGACACTTAGGCTCTTTCTAAATCCCATGGAATCACCTACCCGTTATAAGCAATTTTATGTAAGCAAAATTTGAGAGTGTATATTAAGTTACCTACATGCCGTCCAAGGCCTGACTTCATTTTCTGTTGAGCAGGATTATGTAGTAGTATGATGGACATGCTCTTGATAATGGATGGAATATCACTCCTGGGTACCTGAAGTGTTTACTGATTACAGGTAGGATTTGAGCCAGGCATGGTGGCTCATGCTCGTAAACCTGGCAGCGTGAGAGGTGAGAGGTGAGGATAGGAAGGATCCCGATTTAAGGCCAGACTCCGTCTCATCTAAGCTAGTGGGAAGCATGAATAGGAGCATTGCTGGTCAGGCAGCCTAGACAGAAAGCAAGACCCTATCTCAAACAGAGCCAAAAGCACTGGGGATGTGATAGAGCACCTGTTCAGAAAGTGCAAGGCTGGGAGGTCAAGATGCAGTACCACCACTGCCAAAAGAGTGAGAATTTGCATAGAATTTGCATATTATTTAACTGCTATTTCTCGACCTGCATATGAACTTTCAATTGACTTCCCTGAAATCATGAGTTCAGGTAATTTCTAAGAAAAAAAAATGCCAGACAATGTCCATTTCTTATTATTTTCGAACTCACCATGGCACTTGTCTGAGTTTTAACATAGGTATAAGTTAAATGTAATTCTGAAAACACAGCACAAAACTTTTTATTGGTTGCATTAAACCAGTATATAATAATGGATACTTACCTATACTGGGTCCAACAGCAGCTTTTCCTGATAGTTCCTTACACATGTAGAATATTTAGTTCTTTCCTACTGTGTAGTTTCAAAGTAGGGCGTTATTTTACTTTCTGAAATACAAACTTAAGGCCATTAGTAAGTAATGATTAAGGTTTGTTAGGAGTACTTCTTACTCTCAGGTAATTCTCTTTCAAAGGAGGATTACTGTCTTACATTCACTACATAAATCAAGGAAGATACTGTGCTGTTAGACGAGGAGAAATCTCCGTCAGTGTCTTTCCATCTACTTAACACTATTGCTTTTGGAGGGCATTGGAACTCAAGTAGCATGCCATTAGGTAGGATTCTTTTAGAACATGGCTCTATGTTTTCATTTGATTCATTTTTGTCTGTCTTCAGAATGACTTAAGCCGGGTATCAGTGGGCTCAATCCTGTAATCCTAGCTACTCAGGAGGCTGAGATCTGAGGATCGCAGTTCAAAACCAACCTGGGCAAAAAAGTCCCCATAGGACTCTTATCTCAAGCCCCACAACTGACAAAAACAAAAACAAAATCCCAAAAAGAATATCACCGGAAGGAACTGATGGCTTAAACTCCTTAAGGTCTTGGCTGAAACATTCAGCTCTGATGACGTTTACCAGCAGAGTTGAATATGTGGGCCCTGCGCTCCTCCCAGAGTGCCCTGCTCCTGGAATGCCCCTGGCCTCGGCCTCGGCCTGGACCTGTAGCTCTGGAGCAGCTGATCATGTCAGGCTGCCCCCGCCCCTCACCCTTCCCCGTCCGTCCTCAGCAGTATTGTCTGAAGAAAGCTGTGGACAGACATGGGAGTCACAGGATGGGGTGGCCGTGAGGCTTACAGTGGGGAGTGGGTGGAGACCATGGCTCAGGTCAAGAGGCAATTACCTCCTTGCCTGGAAACGTCCTTTTCCCCAGGATTTTAAAAATCGAAGGTGCTTGTCTAAGTATCTCTGTTTCAGCTCAAGTTACTTTTATGTGTTAGTGATTAATTTGGTGCCAGCAGCTCATTGTCTTCAGTGTCACCAGGTCCCCACCTCCAGGTGACAGTGTGCACCAGATTATTCTCTAGGAATTCTTGAACATCTTCCCTGCACTCACCAACACCGTGAATGAATTGCTTTCCTGTTTCTATGTATTGACCTTAGTTTACATGAAAGATAAGTGTAATTACATAAGCCTTCTCCAGTAATTATGTTACTGGAAGCTTACCGTAAATAAGCACGTTTACTCAGCCAATTGACTATGAAAACTTTTGGGTTGTTTCATCAGTTAGATTCCACACCACTTCTCTCTGAGCAACAGTTAAAGAGTCTTCTGGGTGAATGCACATGCAAAGGACAAGCCATCACCAGGCTTCCCTCCGAAAGAGAAGGCAGAGTCACGGAGGACGGCACGCCTCAGTCCCCCCAGCCTTCCCCGCCCGACCTCTCTGGGTTAAGTGGCTCAGATGCAAAGGTCCGGAAGCCAGAGGGAGAAGATGCAGATGAGCTTGAGAACTGGCACCGTGAGGCCAACCAAGGCTGCTACCTCGCGAAAGCCTTGGAGGGGCATTGCGTGTCAGAAGCCCTGGCCTTCGAAGCAGAGACTATAAAACATCTTCCGCTTTCCAAGGATGAGGTTAGCAGTGACACGCAAGACTATTTTATGTCCAAGACCCTTGGCATCGGGAGACTGAAAAGGCCTTCTTTCTTGGATGATCCACTGTATGATGTCACTGTGAGTCTTTTGTCAAAGGACCAAAATCTGGAACTCAGCCCTCCGGAGAAAGCAACAGCAGGTAAGGCTTGAGAACAAGTGTTGGAGGAATAATTCTTGGGAGCATCTCAATATGAAGAGTCTATGATTTCAAATGGACCAGGCCAGGAAAGTATATTTGTAAGTCACAAGAGCAGTGCAAACACAAGAACATGTGTTCTTATAAGCTCCAGGTTGAGATTTTATATTATGAAGTACATTAGAAAATTCAGTCCTCTTACTGTATTTTATCTTTGCTAGCATGCATTTGTTATACAGGGGCATTTCCATCTATGTTTACATGTATTTCAGTCCACACCCCTCTGCTGTTCTCCTTTTCTCTCCTACCCAAAACAAGTTCAGCAGGTTTTATTGTTCTGATTTTATACATGCGAATGATCTCTCAAAATTATTCACCCTCTGGCTCTCCTTTTCCCTTTTCCTCTTCCCCTCTCCTCTGTAGTGGCGTGGGCTCATTCCATTTTGCTGTGCTCAGCTCAGTGACTCATAGTCACATTTCAGCACAGCACTGTTCTAATGTTGGAGACACCTTACATGTTTCATTTATATTTACTCATTTTTTTTAAATCTTCATCTGACTATTCCCACATATCCACTTTGTCTTCTTGAATCCTGATATTTTGTCTTGAATTTGATCCAGTCTACTGCAGAGATTTTTTAAAATTGAATTATTTATATTTATATTACCAGAATTGTCTTTTTTTCCCTCAGAATTTCTATTTCCTTCATGAACTCTTCTTTCATGCCCTGTGTTGTCTCCCTTATTTCATTCAGAGCTTTCTTTGAGTATTCTTGGAATTCATTCAGGGATTTATTCCTGTCCTTTTTAATTTTTTAAATCATTCTTAGAATCATTTTTTGAATTATTTAGACTATCATTCACCTCATTTTTGTAGTGTTCATTACTGTAGAGTTGTGTTCATTACTGTTGGAGGAGTCACGCTTCCCCCTGCGCCTCCCCCCCTTATTTCTTGGGGTTTTGCATTTGGATTTGTGCATCTGAGGCCAAGTTGTTGGTTGGAGGTTTTAATCACCTATAGTATTTCAGTCTGGACTGAGATGCTCTTTCTTACCACTGGCCTGGGTGCATGGCTTAATAGCCACACATTCACTGGTATACTCAGGATACCAGGCCTGATGTCCAGCATTGCTCTGATCGAGGAAGACAAGCTGTCCGCTGTAGGAGGGTCAGTTGTCCATTTCTGTGCTGCTTTTACTGTTTCTCTCTTCAAGGAGGCAAATGCCAAACTACCCCACTTAAATAAAACATGTAGTTCAGCTTTTACTCTCTCCCCAGAAACTTAGTAGAAAGTAATTTTGATGTCTCTCTCTAAACCCATAGTTATCTTTCAAAACTCAGCATTTTTCTGAGCTGTAAGTTCCATGAAGACAGAATTTGTATCATTAGATTTTACCTGTAAACTTTATATGCAGCTTGTGATGACTGTTTAATAAATAGTAGAGAAATTATTATTATTATTATTGTACTCTTGAGCTATGATCCCCAGATTTTTAGCTTCAGTTCTTTTTTTTTAATGTGATCTCGCTCTTTCTGGGACTAGCCTGGCTCATGCTATCAGACCCCACTTTTTTGTTGTTTGGGATGAGGTCATGGTATTTCTTTTCCTGGGCTGGTCTTCTCTGTCCTCTCACTCTCCCTTCTTGGAGTAGCTAGGATTGCAGGCATGAGCCACCACACCCAGCTTTCACTGTATAATGTGCAAAAAGACTTAGTGCTTACTAGGCTGAATTACTTGTCTTAATAATGTACACGTTTCTGATTACATATTAACTTTGGTTATTTTATATACAGATGAACAGCAGACTAAACATGTGATGGAAGAATGTGAAGACTCTTAAAGACTTACTAGGTGTGCTCTTAAGAAAGTTGGAAATTAAGTTTCATTTTTTTCTGAACTGTTTGAGTTCAATGGCTGCATTGAGTGAGACCATTCTTCAAATAATGATTTTTAACATTTGATTTCTCCTTATTATGTTTCCTTGATATTTTTGAGGCTTGAACAGGGAGTGTGGCTCAAATGGTAGAGTACCAAGTCTTGTATGAAAAAGCCAAATGAAAGTGCAAGACTCTGAGTTCAAGCTCCAGTGCTAGTACACACCAAAACCAAGAAAACCCGAACCTATTGCCTCCATCTTTATCGCAATTCTCCTCTAGCACCTGGCTTACTCACCTTCAACCTGTCAGTCCTGAGCCACATGACAGTAAACCTCCTTAGGAGGAAAAAGTTTTATTGGTGGTGACATAACAAGTCCTGTGTTTAACCAGTTTCACCAGCTAACTTTTGAAGGTCACTGTGCATGGGATTGGACCCTCCTGTGAGCAAGCTCCCGTCCAGCCTCTCTGTCCTGTCTCCTCTTGGTGTGTTCTGTCACTTTTACTGTATGGTGTAAAAATTCATCAGAATTCTCTCCCAGGAATGCACATGTTGTACTACTCTTTTTTTTTTTTCTTTTGTCAGTTGTGGGGCTTGAACTCTGGGCTTGGGCGCTGTCCCTGTGCTCTTCAGCTCAAGGCGAGCGCTCTACCAGTTGAGCCACAGTGCCACTTCCGGTTTTCTAGTGGTTTACTGGAGATCAGAGTCTCACAGATTTTCCTGCCCAGGCTGGCTTTGAACCTCGATCCTCAGATCTCAGCCTCCTGAGTAGCTAAGATTACAGACGTGAGCCACTGGCGACCAGCCATATTGTACTACTCTGAGAGTAAATGCTGGCTTATTTCAGACGGATATTTCCTTTAGATCATTTCCCCTCATTCCACAATGGTTTACAGGCACTTTCTAATTCATAAGTCTTCACCTTGGGCCTACAAAATGATCTGGCAGTTTCCATTCATAGGTGATCTTGCTGCCCAGACAGAAGTGTTTAGAACAAGAAAGAAAAAAGTCAATGAGGAGGAAGATTCTATCTTTTGTCTTGTGCTTAACCAGCCTCAAAGCCAGACTTTTGTCAAAAATTGAATGCATAACAAAAATACTAACAGTTCTTAAGTCAGTGTGCAAAACTACTTGCACCAGTTTTGTTTTTGTCAAAACGAAATGAATTGCTCAGTATTTTGCGTTCATGAATCGCCGTTCTGAAACTCAGATTCTAGATGTGGCAGCACTGGTTCCCTTTACCAGTGAATCTCACATCCACACATTTGTGCATTCCTCTCAAACCTTGCCTTTCCCGCATCATCCGTTTGTGCCTGCAGGTGTCATTCATTCATTCTTCAGAAGGTAGAGTCTCTTACCACCTTTTGCAAAGACGATTCTTCTCTTGTAATGCTGTCCACCCGAGCTGCTCTACAAAATGTAGTCATGTTGTCCTACCTAGAGCCATCATGGACAGGTCAGAAAATGGACCTGGAGTTACAGGTTAAACCAGACAGTGGTGGCTGATGCCTGTAATTCCAGCTATGGCAAGGCAGAGATGGGAGGATCATCGTTTGAGGCCACCTCAGGCAGAAAGACAATGACACCCATTTGCTTTCATTGTCTTTCTTAGAAAGAGCTGGAGTTTTGAGAAGGTTCATACTGGACTCCTTTTAACAGTAAACATAAAATTATATTTTTTTTGACTCAGGATATAGGTTCCCTTTCTATGCTTTAGTTATGGTAGACTATTCCACAAATCTAGAAAATATATACCCTAAGGCTAGGGTTTTTATTTTTATACTGGTCTTGGGACTTAAACTCAAAGCCTGGGCGCTGTCTTGAGCTTATTTGCTTAAAGGTAGCACTGTACAATTTGAGCCACAACTCCACTTCGCCTTTTTGGTTGTTAATTGGATATAAGAGTCTTATGTAGTTTCCTGCCTGGGCTGGCTTTGAACTATGATCCTCAGGTCTCATCTTCCTGAGTAGCTAGGATTACAGGATTGAGCCACCAGTACCTAGTCTAGAAGACTAGTTTTGAACAAGTCTAAATTATATTGGAATTGTGACTATTACATGTCACATTTTTTGTAATTTTCTTTTGTGTGTGCTCTATTGGTTTTTTTTTGTTTTTTTTTTTGGTCAGTTGTGGGGCCTGAACTCTGGGCCTCCCCACTGTCCCTCAGCTCTTCAGCTCAAGGTTTGTTCTCTACCACTTGAACCACAGCACCATTTCTCTATTGACTAAGAATAGTATTTACCCATACCTCTTAGAATAAGGCCAGCAGAGAACAAACCAGACATGGCTATAGGAAGTATAAATATAAATTCCCATATGATTTATTGTTGTTCCTTGTACATCAGAAACAGTAATATACAAGTTACACTGCTTTAGAATGCAAAATGGATAAAAATGTGTACAAAAAAGCACATTCCTAGAAAAAGGTATCAACAAATAGTAAAAACCAGGGAGTAAAAAGCAAAAAAAAATTATAACAAAACACACAAAAAAGGAGAAAACTCAACGATTCTTCAATTCAGTGTGCAAACATATAAAAATAGAAATACTAACTGTACAGGCAGTATTTCCCGATAAATTATTTAAATAGCATATCTACACAATCCGAGATCTATTCCAATAGCAATGAGAAAATAACTTATGAAAGTCAAGCTATGGGTACAAGATGATAGAAAGAGAAAGAAACCTTTCAGAAATGGTATTTAACATTTCAATGCTTTTTCCTGGGAATATTCTTCTGCAGAGAAATTTTCATACTATGTACAACATTGCCTTTTGAGTTACTACAGTAGCTTTCAGTCTATTTAAGACACTTAAACTCTTTCTACTTGATCCAGAAAGTCTTTACTCAGTCACACAACAAATGAGGTAATATTTGTATATAAGTTTCACCTTTGTCATCTTTTCTCTTTTGGAAAAATGAAGTAAAACAAAACAACAACAACAAAAACAACAAACAGGTGTACATGCATTTCTTCTTCCTGGAACTATGAGTGAGGGACGTGGCAAAATATTTCTAAAGATGTCATGGCTTTCTTAGCAATCCGAAGGTCTTGCAGACAACCAATGAATTCCACCGGAAAAGATAAAACAAAGGGACAGAACTGGTTCGCTCTCAGCCCAAGGTGAGGCTGGTTTTCCAGGTGGTGGCATTGAAGAGATTCGCTGATCCCACCCAGGTATCTGCTCACACATATTTCCCATATGAAATTTAATTCCAGGTAGAACAGAGTTAATAAATAATCTGTATTTACAATCTTACAGTCACGAAGACTCATAACCAAGGCAATGTGGACAGTCCTTACACTTCCTGTTCCATGGATATCCTTCAGACAGATTCTCCAGAATAGGGAAAAAAAATAAATATTTTATACTGTTAAAGCATTTGTTAAAAAACAAGAAAGAAAAAAGAAATACACCCCCCCGCCCGCAAAAAAAAAAAAAACCATAAAAAAAATCACACTATAGTCCAGAAGAGAATCAGGAACTCTAATAATAGAAGAAAAAAAGAAAAGGAATGTTTTAGTCAGGTTGACGGTAACTTTGTGCCTTTCTAACCATAGGAACATGAGCATGCTGCCCCTCTTGGAGGCGGCTGCAGCCCACTGAGATGGAATAGGTTTTTCTACTTTCCTGCTACATCTGCAAGGTACATCTGGAATAGAACCAACCATTTCAGCATGGCCAGGCACTGAACAGCCCCCAGCACTGCATGGTACTTCTGATAATAACATGTTATGTGGCTCCTATAGACCAGGGGTAAGGATGGGTATCGGGAGAAAGTTCTGAAGCCAGTCTTTCCCTCCCTTCCTTCCTTCTGTCTAAGCCTCTTCAGATGGGTTAATCAGCTAATGCTAGTCAGCGTCATAAAATCCAGTCTTTCAGTATCCCCAAAATGACTCAGTACTAAACAAGTAACAGGTTCTCCATGATTTCTTCCCACAATCCTTCCTTAGTGCTTGGGCCCCACCCACTGTTCCTAAGGGTATATGTCAGGATCAGGGGCAAGGCCTTGCTGCTGAGGTGCCGGGACATGCGTGGGTCCACTGCTCAGAGCTGGCCTCTCGGGAGCACCCAGCTCGGTGACATGCGCCGCGTGGAGAAGGCACCTTTCCGAAGGAAAGAGAAGAGATGCTTTTGTTTTCACAAAAGCAAGCCAAAGTAATTGTTTGTGTTCTTGGAAGAGGCCTTCTTATTCACCGGAGGCTGAAGGCTCAGTCTGTGTTTGAGTTTGCTTGAGGCAGGCTCCAAGCGTTGGAATCTGCAGAGAAGAAAGGGGGGTGAGGAGGCGTTGAGCCTGGGGGATTCCGCAGGTCCTGGCTTCCAGAAGGTGCAGTGCCAGCCTTGGGTATGATCAGGACTCTGATCAGCATATGACAGTTAGGAATCTGTGACACAAACGTGAAAAAACAAAGAAGTGAAAACTAATGAATCAGGGCACAATCATCTTAATATCAACTAACAAAAACTCAAGAGTTTTCCTTTTGTTGTTGTTGATGGAAAAATGACTCTGTGTGTGTGTGTGTGTGTGTGTGTGTGTGTGTGTGTGTGTGTGTGTGTGTGTGTGCGCGCGCATGCTGGTACTGAGGCTTGAACTCAGGGCTTTGAGCTCTTACTTGGCTTTTTTTGTGTGTGTGTGTGAAAATACCATATAGAGGGGTTACAATTACATGGGCAAGATAATGAGTACATTTCTTATCAAACATTGTTGCCTCCTCCTTTGTTTTCCCTTCCCATCTCCCCCCTCCCCCCCCCCCCTCCCCCCCCCCACACCCTACTTGGCTTTTTTGTTCAAGACTGTTGCTCTACCACTTGAGCCAAAACTCCACTTCTAGCTTTTTGGAGGTTAATTGGAGATAGCATCTCATAAACTTTCCTGCCCAGGCTGGCTTCAAGCCATGATTCTCAGATCCTAGCCTACTGAGTAGCTAGGATCATAGGCCTGAGCCACTGGTGTCTGGCTACTAAAAATGGCTTTCACATCACTATGAAAGCAATATTGTTCCTCTGTACACAGATAAAAGTTGTGATGGTATGAATAAAACTGTAAGAACATAAACTATCTAAACATTCCAAGGTTGAAAGAAAAGTAGTACTCGCATTTAAGAAAAGCATTATCGTGGCCTAAATTGTGTAGCTGCTTGTCTTCCGTCTTTGCATTGTCTGAAGAACACACTGGTTACTAAGCAAACTCACAGTGTTGATAAGGACTCAGGATTTCTTTAGCCACAATTCATAGCAATTATTTCATTTCTAGCATTGTATCCTTAAACGCTAAGTGGAAATACCCTTGTCTCTAAAATACTGTTCCAATCAGTCTTGCCCACCGCCGTTGTCTTTCATATTAGTGTGACTTAGTGCAGTTCTCGGTGCTCCTACCTCTACATTCGTATTTCAGGTCAGAGAAGAACACCATTTCTTGAGAGAAGACAAACAGTCCTAGCCTACCGCCGGCGTAGGTTTTGTCGTAGATGGGGCCAGAGTCAGCCATGATCTTCTTCCCCTCGTACATGACCACTCTGCAGCAGAAGAGAAAACATGTCACTGGTGACACGTCCCTGGTGACACGTCCCTGGTGACCTCGCTCCTTTTTGATCTCATCCTTTTGGCCCCTCGGTGCGACGCGGAAGTGGGATTTAATACACTCCACCCTCACCTTATGAAGCCTGTCTTGGGCCGGTGGCTGAGACGCCATCTGTAGGCGGTGAAATCTTTCCAGCCTATGTGACGAGGGTCATGCCACAGGGTGCGCACCTGAGGGAGAGGAGAGAGCTTGAGCAAGTCCCGCCGCGAGGAGACCCACAGCCCGGGCCTGAGACACAGGGCTTGAGAGCTGCCCACAGCCCGGGCCCTGAGACACGGGGCTTGAGAGCTACCCATAGCCCGGGCCCTGAGACTCGGTGCTTGAGAGCTGCCCACAGCCCGGGCCCTGAGACTCGGTGCTTGAGAGCTACCCAGCAGACCGGGAGGATTTTGGTTCCTAAGGGTTCTCTCCTGTGCCGTGTGCCATATAATGACTGAAAAGCAGACAGCAAGGGGAAAGGAAGGCTTTTTGTTTGAAGAGGCCAGAACTGCCCCAGGTGTGGAGGGGCGCCGGGCCGCAGTGAGCTCCCCTGTCCCACACGATTCGGACTTTGTGGAGCCTGGCTTCATGCCGCAGCTGGTGATGCTGGGAGCTTCCTAACTAAGACATCTTGGGTTCTTAGCCAGAGGCCAGTGTCCCCCTTGTCAGTTACACGGCCACCCCCGGGACCCCTCCTTACCTGGCCAGGGGTGTTTCCTGTGTGCCACAGGGCATTCCGCAGGTGCTCGCCAGGGCCTGTGGTGGAGTTCACGACTTTCACGGACAGGCCGGAGTATCCCTGAGCCCTGGTGGGGTTGGTATCCCAGTAGGACTGGGTGACTTGCTTCCACATAACCACGTAGAAGCGGCTGCTGGACTGGTAGCCAAACACAAAGCCGGCGTAGTCATCGTCCCTCTCGGTGTTGATGAAGAAGGTGCCACTGAAGTCCACCGCATTGAACTCATCGTAACCTAGAATACCAGGCCAGAGCCACGTTAGTAACTGCAGCCTTTAGATCCTTCTCCATTCTGTCCCAGACTTCCCAGAGCCGCCCCCCCCCCCCCGCAGGGGCAGGGGCATTTCCACATCCGTCTTTGCCTCTTAAAGCACGCACAACTCACCTACAGCAAGGCCAGGATCACAGTTGACAGTCTGGACAAGCTCTTTGCCCTGGTGGCGTACCACCCAGTTAGGGTCATTTTGGGATGTCCCTTTGGGATCAAGAGGAATCATCTGGAATCGGCGGAAATCAGTCTCACTAATGTCAACATTCTCAGGACAGATATCATCGATGTCTGGCACATTGTCATGGTCAAAGTCGTCTTTGCACGCATCGCCTCGACCGTCACCTAAGATCAGAAAGGCAAGATGTGAGTGAAACTCTGAAGTGCTGCCATGTCTGAGGTCAGATGAGCCTTGCCACAGCTGACCTTCAGTCGCTGTGTCCCCTGGGATACCTTCCCTTTACTTCTGTTTCTTCCCTCTGCAGGTCATACGTCCCGACCCCCCTAACACCTTGTGCTCTCCAGAATGGCGGCACGGACTCACCATCAGAGTCCTTCTGGTCAGGATTGGGCACCAGCCTGCAGTTGTCCCTGTCATCAGGGATGCCGTCATTGTCATCATCGTGGTCGCAGGCATCCCCCTTGCCATCCTTGTCATGGTCAGCCTGGTTGGCATTGGGCACATAGGGGCAGTTGTCCAGATTGTTCTGGTGTCCATCTTCATCAATGTCCTGATTGTTGTCACAGGTGTCCCCGATGCGGTCTGAGTCAGAGTCCAGCTGGAAGACAGAGGGAAAAGGAGTAAGTCCCATGCTGAACAGCGCCTGGAAGGCCACACAGGTGGCCACCAGGGGGAATTCTTCTGTGTATGATACTGCCAGTGAGTTCCACGGTTATTTCTGTGCTACTGGAGACACTAACATTAGCAAGCTGAAATTTAAAGGTTTTTTTTTTTTTTTCCTCAATCTTTGTTTGATGTGGAAATTGTGAGGACACATTTAGGATTTTTTAAAAGCATAACATTTTCCAACTAACATAGAACTTAATTATTCCATATGCACGGGATGCTTCCAGACAGCATAATACAGATTGGATTTTTTTTCTTGCTAGTGTATATGCTTTTTGTAAGGGGTGTGTGTGTATGTATGTGTATGTTGTGTGTGACTGTATTTTTTTTTTTTACATGATGGTTGAATTTTGTTGTAAGGTTATTATAATCAGAGGAATCCTAAAGTCATCTAGTGAGGTTAAATGATATTGAAAAATTTGTGGTAAGACCCAAACTCGAAACAGATGAGGTCAGTAAAGCTTCCCGCAGACCACTCAGGCTTTCCCATGATGCCCTCAGAGCCACTGTCCTGCTATTACTAGCTTGACACGCTTTAAAGAGCAAGTGTCGGGAGGGAGAAGCTGGAGTTCTCGTGTAATGACGTCGATCTGTACATTCCCCGGCAGGGGGGAAGGGTGGTCTGTCAGGAATGCTAGATATTTTTGGAGAAATGTGCTTTCTGGAGCTTTTGGAAGTCTTTTTAGTTTGATGACTTCTTAATGGCTGGATTGTATCACTAGCCATGAAAATGGCTGTTTTGCTTCTAGATGATGCATCTCAGCCGTACACATGGTTCATGTGATTGTAGTGGCCATTTGCAGGTCTTGGCTTTGTGAGAATTAATCTTAACAAGGGTAGGTTACACTGAACAAGCCAAGTAGGCTTTCTCTACAGAGTTCATTTTGAGCAAACTCACTTTGAGCATGCTCATACAGCGCCTGGCTATGGGAACACGGGTGCCAGTGAGTTTGGACTCTACTCTTACACACAGTCTCAGAGGCCCAGCCAGGAGATTCCAGCAGCTGGCGGAGAGTGGGAGGAGTCACCCACCTGGTCTGGGTTGTGCTCCAGGGGACAGTTGTCACACTGATCTCCCACCCCGTCCATGTCAGTGTCCCTCTGGTCCACGTTGTACACGTACTGGCAGTTGTCACGCTCGTTGAGGATGCCTGCGGAGAGCAGGGCGAATGAGCGCCGCGCTCGGCAGCACCAAGCGCACGGTGAGACCACACAGTCAGGCCTCCCGGGTCCCCAAGAGCCCCCTACCGTCCCCGGTGAGACCACACAGTCAGGCCTCCCGGGTCCCCAGGAGCCCCCTACTGTCCCCGGTGAGACCACACAGTCAGGCCTCCCAGGTCCCCAGGAGCCCCCTACCGTCCCCGTCGATGTCGGCGGCGCAGGCGTCCCCCTCCCCGTTGCTGTCGGTGTCTGCCTGGTCTGGGTTGTGGTTGTAGGGGCAGTTGTCGCAGCGGTCCCCCACGTCGTCTCTGTCGTAGTCATACTGGGCGGGGTTGTAATGGAACGGGCAGTTGTCCTGCGGGGAGGAGAGATGGAGAAACCTCACCGGGTTGCCTCCGACACCCGCCGCTGTGTCCGACCACTTGCGCAGTGTGTACACGACTCATTAGCTACTAGTTGGTTGACAGAGTATCGTTAAATGACCCCCTAGAAGATAATACGTGGGTTTCTGTTGGTGACAAGTCAGTGAGATATAAAACATAATTTTATCATCTCGGTGTCACTAGGTACACTTGTAATTTCTCTCTCAAATGGGGAGGAAGAGATGGGAAGGAAAAAGCCTTTGAAAATTCTCTTGGCAACGTCTGTGTCCTGGGTCGCTAGGATTATGACAGGTGTTAGCCGCTGTGCCTGCTGCCAGCGAGGAAGCCCTAACTCTCCAACGTGTCAACATGGTGGACGTAAAGCCCTGCAGTCTCTCCGCCCGTGCCGTGCTCCAGGCTGCCACTGGAGCGAGCGGGGACGCGGGGAAGGGAGCACAGGGTCTGGTCTTTACCCTGTCGTCTGGGATCTTATCGTTGTCGTCATCGTCGTCACAGGCGTCGCCGATCCCATCCTTGTCGTAGTCCTCCTGCCCCGAGTTGGGAAGGTTGGGGCAGTTGTCCTGGGGAAGAAAAGCCACACATGACAGCCGTTAGGCCTGCGGTGACACGGGGACAGGCACTCCAAGCCCAGGTCCTGCCCTGTTCATGTTCTTGGTGAGAACCCATGCCCCGCTGCCTTCCAGATCCTTCTTTAACTCTTCAACCCGGAGCGCACTCTGGCGTGTGCTTGGGACCAGGGCGGCGGGCTGTCTGTGGGGAGGCTCGGGAGGGCGTCTGGCCGTACCTTTTTGCAGTGGTAGGTGGCATTGGCCACGCATACCAGGTCCTCGTTGGGCCAGCCGTCCAGGTCGGTGTCCTCTCCGCAGATGATGCCGTTGCCGGCGTAGCCGGGCCGGCACTCGCAGCGGTACATGGGGTCGCTGTAGTGGCCCAGGTAGTTGCAGTTGGCGTTCCTGTTGCAGTCGTGCGTCCCGTCTTTGCAGGGGTTGCGGGGACTGCACACCTGGGGGCACAACACCCAGCCTTTGGACATGTCCCAGACACCAGGGGAACGAGGGGCCGCGACCGCCCCCTCTCTGGGTAGGCGAGGCCCGTGGGAAGAGCAGGCCCGCACCTAGACACCCACAGCTCCATCCGCTCATCCCTATCGGGTGCTGCTAAGACTACGCTGTGCGGGCGTGCACCCCTCCCCTGCTCCATGAAGCCTCCGCTGGCTGCTCGCTCAAGGACAGCTCTGTCCTCAGGTCTGCTTTGTGGAGTCTGCTGTACCTGTTTGTTGGCCATGGCGTGTTCGATGCCCCTGCCGAAGGGCTGAGAGCCCGTGAAGCGCGGCGGGCAGGGCAGGCAGTTGTAGCCGGGGTCTGTGTTCTTACACCGGTGCTCTCCGTTGTGGTTGAAGCAGGCGTCGGGCACTTCTTTGCACTACGGAGGGAGTAAGAGAGTGCTTGGCTGTGAGCGAAGGCGGCAGCGAGGAAGTGCCGGGGGGCCCGCCGGCGGCCTTCCCCGCAGGTCACGCAGAGCCGGGGCTCCCTCACCTCATCCACGTCACTGCACTGGATGCCGTTCCCAGTGTAGCCGGCCGGGCAGGCGCCACACTTCCAGCTGCCGTCGGGATGGCTGGTGCATTTGGCACCGGCAAAGCAAGGGTTGGACAGGCATCCATCTGAGAAAGGTGAGAGGCGGTCAGTGGCAGGTCCCAGCTGCTGTCCCTGCTGCGGCTGCGCTGACAGCGGTGCTGTCCACCTGCACACGCACACGTGTGCACACACATACACACACAGAACCTCAGCATTCAGTAAAATCCAGTGTCTAGAGGGACTTGGCTCAGGGCCACCCACTCACCTATGGGACAGTCCTGCTTGTTGCAGACCTGGCTTTCTGTCACGTCGCCAATGCAGTCTTTGCCTCCGAACTGGGGCGTGGGGTTGTTGCAGAGGCGGCTGCGTTTCTGCACCCCTCCCCCACAGGTGACGGAGCAGATGTCCCACAGCGACCAGGGACCCCAGCCTCCATTGACTGCAAGGAAACCGATCCCACACAAGCATTCAGTCATTTGAAACCTCTGCTACCCGACCCGTGGAAGGGATGTTCGGGAAGAGCGTGAGTCTGAGATGGTTCTCCGTTTCACACTGAGCGCCCAGGGCTTTGCTTCTGTTCATTTCTCCAGTGAGCAGCGTCCCCTCGCGCCCTGCCCCCACCTCCCCCCCGCCGGCCCCGTGACCCGCAGAGCTGCGCCCGGGAGGCTCCCACTCACTGGGACAGGCGGCTTTCCTGCACGCTGTGGTCTCCCGCGCCTCGCCCTCGCACGGCTTCCCGTTCATCTGCGGGCTGGGGGAGTTGCAGAGACGGATCCTTGTGATGACGCCATCACCACATGTCACGGAGCAAGACGACCAGGGGGACCAGTGGCTCCAGCCGCCATCCTGTTTGACTAAAATGCAAAGCTGGTGTCACCGAGGGTGCTGGCAGCCTCCTCCGGAGCTCGGAGCTCGTGGAAGCGTCCCCAGCCCGCTCAGCGCAGCCAAACCCGCGCTGCGAGGACACGGGCTCGTGGCCACAGTCCACATGCCAGCATGTGGTGATGCCGGCTGCAGGAAGCCATCAGTACCCCAGGACCTACAGGCTCGACATAAGCTGCGCTCCATGCTGACTGCATTCGATGCATGAACCAAATGCTTAAAACCCCACTGCGAACTCGCTGCAGAGACCCGTGCTACAGAGAGGAGAGGCCGCGGGATCCGCGCTGTGGTCAGGGTGCGGGAGGAGGGGTAGACTGGGATTCCGACACGGAGGTTCCAGCACCTTTACGCCCAGGCTTCGCACCCTGCCTCCCACCCCCAGCCGCCCAGTGCTCACATCGCTTGTCACACTCCTGAATGTGGCAGGTCCGCGTCTGGACCGAGGAGCCCTCGCAGCGGTTGTTGAGGCTGTCACAGGAGCGGCCGCGCTGCTGGACGCCATTGCCGCACGTCGCCGAGCAGGACGTCCACTCGGACCACGGAGACCAGCCGTCGTCCGCCGAGTCGCTGGCTGCGGGGAGCACGAGGCACTTAGTACAGGGTGGCCGCCCGTGGTCCCTGCCGGGGCCTGCACTTGCCAGAGGGGGAAAGCACACATCCCCTTTGCCTCGACTGAAGTATTTGATGAGTATGCTTTTGCTATACTAACGCAACACGATGTGGTTATTACAGCTGCATGTGTGTGTGTGTGTGTGTGTGTGTGTGTGTGACTCTGAACTTCTCCCTCAGCCTTAACCGTAGACTTTTACAAGTATGTGAGACTCCCGTAACTTCAAAGCAAAGGATACGATTTCTCTGAGGTGGCTGGAAGAAGGGTTTATGTTAGATCACCACGTATAGATTTTCCGGGTAACTGGAGGCTGTACTGGGTCAGGACAGCCCATCCTTGCTGCAGTGCGAGATCTCCCACGCCCTCTCCTCTCCGCTCTGACTGTGCACAGTTAAGATATCGGAGCAGCGGGTCCAGACTCAGTCTTCCAAGAAGACAGCCCCAAGGTGTCATTTCTGACTTGTCAGGGAAGCCCCAGACCATGTGTCTGGCAGATGAGCGGGCTGGCAGCCTGGCTGCTCTTAGTTCTGGCTCCAGCTGGCCATGAGGTTAGTCGGCTTGTTCCTCAACCTCTCACCTCTGGCGCCTCCTCTGCACATATTTTCACAAGAGGAGAATATGTTTGTTTACTGTCTCTTGAGGCACCACCAGAAAACAGAGACTAGATCTCATTAGATAGCCCATGCTGGCCTTGAACCCATGATCCTTCTGCTTCTGACTCTTGAGTGCTGGGATTACAGGTATGCACCAGTATGACTATCAAGAGAACTTGTGTTCTTTGGCCACCAGTTGGAAGTCTTAGCAATCGCTGTCTGTGTTCCCTTTAACTCCCACCTCAAATAAGTGCTAGATAGAGCACATGTACAAATAGGTGGAACATCACTCCCATGGTCCTGGGGAGCCATGGTCGGGGTACACAGAGGTGTGCGTGTGTCTGTGTGTGTGTGTGTGCGTGCATGCATGTATGCCAAGTGCTACTGCCTATTGTAACAACTCACTTTTATGACTATGCTGAATATTGTCTCCATGAAGAGATCATTGCAGGGCACAAGACCTAGGGGCAGGGCGCCCCGTGTCAAGACAGTGCCGTTTCTGTCAGTCCCTTGACCCCCAGTGATGCTGTGATCTTCCTCTCTGATCACTGCAGAATTCAGAGGCAGAACCTCAGGTCCCAAGTCAGGTCCCGTGCTCACACCATAAACCTACCAACTCCTCTGCTGGACAGATCCTCTTAACTTTGCACTGTTAAAATCTAGTTCTAAAACTGTCAACTTAGACCTATTTCTGCAACATATTCACCCCTTATCTGCAAAGCACAAGATCAGGATGAATAAATACATGCCATGAGCATTGCTACCGATTCCACAAGCTAGATGGACAATTAAAAGGTGTTCCTAATGCGCTTTTTTGGCTGCAGACAGCCGACAGAAGGAAGCAAGATGCTGAATGGAGACATATGATGGAGACAGGGTGGGGGCAGTGCTGTGCCTAGATGTCCAGGATGTGTTAGAGCCAGCCGAGTACTAAAGAATGAGCTAGGTGGTTTAGGAACTTACGCCAACACCGTGGGCAGCACTCTCCATCAGGAACTGTGGCGTTGGAGCAGGGCATGATGGGGCAGGACACCTTCTTGCAGATAGTCACTGAATTCTGCAGGGCAAGAAAGGAAGGGGGAAATGGTTACTGAGCATAATTGCAAAAATAAGTTTCCCTACTACAGGAACATTTCCATCACAAGCCACAGAAGTGCGAGGTCCGTAAAAGCTCGGACGGGATGAGGGTGATAGTAGAGCTGTCGGTTGCAGTCCACCCATGTCATAGATTTCATGCCGGTCACTTGTCTGTCCTTCAGGGAGCTCTGAATGGTTGCTCAGCACAAAGAACTTATGTAAGAAGAATCAGCAGGCCTCGGGAGCCAAGTCTACCTCGGAAATCAAACTCACAGGAATCGGCAACAACTTTAAAACCTTTCTATATTATCTTTAGCAGGAGAAGAAAATCTATGAACATTTTTCTCTCCTCTTAGAGCTGCCTTTACACCACACTGGGGAATGATGAGAATTTAAAGAAGTTGGTGCAAAAGCAAAGCCGTTCTTTGTCTGATAAGCCAGATAATAGCAAACTTGCCTTCCCCCACACCTGTGGGACTGGCATTGTCACCCGAGCTAAGTTGACAGTGACACCCTAGCCATTTGAACAGTCAGCACTGTGTTAGAAGAACCGCCATGCCGGGGCTGAATAGAAAGCCGTGCTGGGGAAACAAAAGGAATGTTCTGAGCAGGTTTGATTTACCTGACATTCAACACTTGGTCTTTGAACCAAAGCGAGTAAATTATTCAGATGTCTAAGTAGATTTGTTCCCTTAAGATACTTAGCCCGGGGGGCAGGGGGGATGGAGGGTGTAATTAAGACTTTAATAAATCCAAGAGATTAAAAGAAGCATTTGTAAATGTCATAATTGCATGTCAAAGGGAAAAAGACCCGCTTTGGTGGCGGCCTGTGGTATATAAAAAGAACTTGAGGGCTTCCTCTCGGCTGCAGACCTGGCTTTATGTCCCGTGGGACAAGGATGCCAACCTACTGAAGTTGACTGGCAACTTCAGTTGTCTGTGGCTGGTGTTCAAGCAACAGCATTTTGTATTTGAAAAGACTGGCTGCAAGCCGCGCCGTGAATCTCCCCTTCAGCGCGCAGTGGCTCCTCACCTGGCAGTGGCACTCGGTACAGCCATCCACCGTCCACTCCTCATTATTCCTGTACTGGACCCCATTGTGGTAGCAGAAGTGGGGCCTCCGCAGCTCATTGGCCAGCTCCTTGTTCTCTTCCGTCTAAAAGGTGAGCGTGCTCATTAGTGCTCAGCCTTACCTGGGGCCGACTGGGAGGGGGGGTGGGGGGGGCGAGGCCACTGACCACTTTGCGGATGCTGTCCTGCAGAGTGGTCACAATGGTGCGCAGGCTCCGGAGCTCCAGGACCATGCTGGACAGCTCATCACACGAGATGCCGCAGATGGCTTGCAGGTCCTTGGTCTTGTGGCCAATGTAGTTGGTGCGGATGGCCGGGCTGGACCCATTCACCACATTGTTGTCCAGGGTGAGCAGGACATTGGCAGTGGCTAGGAAATGGAACAGAAAAAGTAATGGTGGACTTCAAATCCATGGCCTCTCCTCCAGCCAGCCAGCCAGCCAGCCCACCCTCGAATTCTTGGCTATAAAGGCATTTCCTTTGGGGTAAGGGATGCAAGTAAGAGGAGTGTGTGTGTGTGTGTGTGTGTGTGTGTGTGTGTGTGTGTGTGTGCGCACGCGTGTGCGTGTAAAATCCTTTGAAGTCACTTGTGTCTACTTAATCATGCTACCTGGAGGCAAGTTTGGCACAAGCAGTATTGCTTATATTCCTCGTGGTGCTCTTGGTAGAATTCTCCCATGTACTAAAAATAGATGGGGTACTCACAGCTGGAGCAGCCTTTGTTCCTGAGGACATCTTCTGGGGTGGTTCCAAAGACAAACCTCACATTCTGCAGCACCCCCTGTGGCAGGAATTGTAGAATGGAGTGAAGGGGGGGTTGGTGGGAGGGGCAAGGGAGCGGGAGGGAGGGGGGAGGGAGGGAGGGAGGGAGGGAGGACTATCTGTGTGCTAGAGAAAGCACATAAGCAAACATCCCAGAAGCTGGAAAGGCCACCATTTTTTAAGATCCCTTTAAGATCAAAATAGCCCACCAACGTAAACGGCCAAACAACTTCAAAAATCTTCTGTCTTCTGCCAAGTCTTTAGTATTTTACAAAGAACTCCCTTCTCAAAGGCCCGCCTGGGCACAAAGGAAGTGGAATGGATGCTAAGTGTGGAGAATACGATATTCCCCAGTGGTGAAGAGTTAAACGTGGGAGTTCAAAGCCACAGCTACAAACGAGGCGAGGAAGAGCTGCAGTGGCGGATCGGTGGCTGTTTTAACCTTTTCAGTTTAACCTCTGCCCGCTTCCATCCCACCCCACTGACCACGGCTGGCTCTACCCAGTGAAGAACCCCTTGCAGGTTCTGATTAAAGCCGGTGGAACATACTCGAAGTAAACCACCGTGCTCTTTAAGAGCACTGGAGCAGCTGCTGTTGGACAGGCATTTCTCATTTACTCGAGTAGTTTCCAACGGGCTGCCCAGGCCCCCAGCCCCCAGCCGCAGCAGGACCCTTCCGATCAGAAATGCAGATCCCCAGGCCCCTCACCCGATGCCCTGGGGGAGGAGGGGGGGAGGAGGGCAGCCTGCCATGCCGTCCACCCTCCCAGGTGTTCTGAGGCTGAGAACCGCCCCCCCCCCCGGGCACCACCACCACCCACCACGGTGGACCCACCGACCTGGAAGTTGTCGTTGACGTCCCCCTTGGCAACGCGGAGCCGGGCGGTGCTGGCCAGGTCCCGGGTGAAGATGCTCTGGATGGGGACGTCCAGCTCGACGCTCTCCATCTTCTCGCAGTCGATGTAGAGCTGGGCTCTGTCCTCCTGCACGAACAGGGTGATGCTCCTCCACTGGCCGGTGGCCAGGAAGGCCTCCTCCACCGACACCACCTGCTGCCGGCCCTGCGCGTCCAGGCTCAGGTCCAGCGTGCCCGCCTTGCCGTTGGACACCACGGCGAACACGGGGCCCGACCGGTCCTTGCGCTCCACGGCCAGCAGCGCGCCGCGGGTCCGCTTCATCTGCCGCAGGGAGGCCAGCAGGAGGAAGCCCTTCTCGGCGCGCACGGCGTCCACCAGGTCTTGGAATTTGTCATCGGGCATCGGGGGGATCAGGTCGGCGTTCTCGATGCGGAAAGCCGGGCTGGACGGGTCGGGACCCTTCACCAGCCGCCGCCCGGAGCCCCTGCGGGCGGCCCCGGCCAGCTCCAGCACGTCGAACACGCTGCCGTCTCCGCCAGCCTCTGTGAGAGCCGAGAGGCCACGGTCAGCTTTCCGGACCGGGGGGGGGGTGGAGGACGGGAGGGCGGGGGTCAGGGGACGGGGTGCGGGGCGCCCCCCCCGCGGGGCCTCCCCGCCGGCTCACCTGGAATGCGGTTGGCGGCGCACACGCACACGGGGCACAGGAGCAGGAGGCACAGTCCCCAGGCCGGGCCCATGGCAGCTCCGGAGCCCGGGGTCCGAGGGGGGAAGCCTGGACGGAGGGTGGCACCAAGTTGGGCGCGGGGCGCGGGGCGCGGGGCGCGCCCGCCACCCTCCTGGGCCTCCCGCTCGCCGGGAGGACGGACAGCAGGCTCGTCCTCCCCGAGGCTATGCCCACGAGGGAAGGCGTGCCCGAGGCAGGCGCAGCTGGTGCCCGGGGAAGAGGGCGCGAGACGGGCAGGCGGGCT